GAACGTGGACAGAAGCGAACAGAGGAAAAGAGTCATCACCAACTCCTGAAGACAAGAAGAAGAAGGACTGCGAGACGACCCACCTGCAGAAGTGTATGGACCAGCTGCAGGCCATCAATAAGGACCACAACCTCGCCTTCGCCTCTACTGAAAAAGAGCTCAGCAAGATGTGCAAGTGAGAAGGGGAGGGGAGAAGGGGAGGGGAAAGGGGGAGGGAAGGGGGGGAAAGGGGAGTTAGACGAGGATAGAAGGAGGGTGGGTGGGTGGGTGAGAGGGAAAAGGAAGGAAGGAGGATAAAGGAGGGAAGGAGTGTAGGTGGAAGGAAGGAATAAGAGGCAGATAAGGAGGAAGAAGGAGGGTTTGGTAGGAAGGAAGAACAGATTCATTTTGTAGATTTTTTCCTTTATTTAAAAATAATTCAACAGAATATTATCAATTAAACACACCCAAGAGACTCTAATGGCCCTTTATTAGCCTATAGTGGCCATTATGAAGTCTGGCCAGGGCCACTCCAGTACCTCAACAACAAGAGAGTGAAGTAGGATAATAAGTACTCCATAAATCACAAATAATTAAAGTGGGGATAGATATCAAATAACCCAGATAAAAAAAAAATAATAATAATAATAAAATTCTGTTCGAGAGAAAATAAAATAAAAACCAAACCGGGACATTTCTCAAAAAACTATGAAATTGTGTGTGGCAGAAAATTTTTGGAATCTTTTTGGGGTTGAGGGTGACGTGAAGTTCACCCGAGACAGAGAAAGTGTTTTAAAAGAACTGATTTGAGAAGACCAAGAGATGCGGGTACCAGTACAGCCGACCTCAGATTAAAAGTTTTTGCCGAGATCGGAATTTAAGGAGAGAAACAGCAAAAGATGTTATAAAAGAGAGAGAAAAGAATCACAGGAGAATAAATATGGACGTGGAAGAATACACAATAAGTAGGGAATAAGTATGAAATTTAACATACACATAAAAGATAGACGCGGTAACAAAAAAAAAAAATCTTACACAAATATAAGCAAAGCCAACAGGTTAAACAAAAAATAAGTTTGTCTGAGGGATTTTTTGACTTTATGTGACCTGTACAAATAAAAATAAATAAATCAGGGTTATGTAATAGTTTCCAGGTTGTTTATTTGTATATTTACGAGATAAATTAAGTCTGATGTAATTAGTGATTGGTGGAAGAGTATTCTTATTATTGAAGGGAGAGAGAGGAGGGTGAGAGGGCAGGGAGAGAGGGCAGGGAGAGAGGGCAGGGTGAGAGGGCAGGGAGAGGGGGGTGGGAGAGAGGGGCTCGACAATGATGACACTAGTTAATAGGGCAAACAGAAAGGGTTGACGCTCTCCAACCTTCACTTATGTGTTGAGGCTGGGATTACGAGAGAGAGAGAGAGAGAGAGAGAGAGAGAGAGAGAGAGAGGTCCTGGTTAAAGTGCTAATGACTTCCGTTAGTCTTTTACCTGACCTGTGTACCTGGGGGAGTTATAACACCTGACCTGTGTACCTGGGGGAGTTATAACACCTGTACCTGTGTACCTGGGGGAGTTATAACACCTGTACCTGTGTACCTGGGGGAGTTATAACACCACCTGTATCACCACTAACACCACCTGTATCACCACTAACACCACCTGTATCACCACAGTACCATGAAATCAGGACTCGACTGTGTACATGATCACGTGAAGAACTGTTTTGAGGACAGCCGCCAGCGCGTCATCTACCAGCTGTTGACGGGCACTGAGGATGTCATCAAGAGCCTCTGTATGCAAGGCAACTTCAGGGAACGTGAGTATAATTGTTTACATGACGTTCTGGCCTCCTATGTCTATATTACACGTACTGTACTCCTTCTATTATGGCGCTTGACTTTTGGAAATGGCGGGAACTTCAGGGAACGTCAATATAAATGTTTACATCAGCTGTTTCAAGTATTAGGAATATCTATTGGCGGGAAACTTCAGAGATCATTAATATAAATGTTTACATCATCTACTTTCCTGCTTCGATTGTATGGTTTGAACCCGGAGGAAAGTTGAGGTTGTCTAACACTGTTCCAATGCTCTACTGTGGTCTAGTCCCGTCATATGAGATTACCAAAAAAGTTGAAATAATTTATCGAACCAAACAGTTTTAACAGCCCCCAGTACTGGCAGGTTGTCCACAGATCAGCCCCCAGTACTAGAAGGTCGTCCACAGATCAGCCCCCAGTACTGGCAGGTCGTCCATACAACAGCCCCCAGTACTGGCAGGTCGTCCACACAACACCTCCACTACTGGCAGGTCGTCCATACAACAGCCCCCAGTACTGGCAGGTCGTCCACACAACACCTCCTACTGGCAGGTCGTCCACGACACCCCCAGTGACAGGTCGTCCAGTACTGACAGGTCGTCCAACACCCCAGTACTGACAGGTCGTCCACACAACACCCCCAGTACTGACAGGTCGTCACAACAAGTACTGACGGGTCGTCCACAACACCCCCAGTACTGACAGGTCGTCCACACAACACCCCAGTACTGACAGGTCGTCACATCAGCCCCAGTACTGACAGGTCGTCCACACAACACCCCCAGTACTGACAGGTGGTCCACACAACACCCCCAGTACTGACAGGTCGTCCACACAACACCCCAGTACTGACAGGTGGTCCACACAACCCCCCCAGTACTGCCAGGTCGTCCACAGATCAGCCCCAGTACTGACAGGTCGTCCACACCACCCCAGTACTGACAGGTTGTCACACACAACACCCTAGTACTGACGGGTCGTCCACACAACACCCTAGTACTGACGGGTCGTCCACACAACACCCCCAGTACTGACAGGTCGTCCACAACACCCCCAGTACTGACAGGTCGACCACACAACACCCCCAGTACTGACAGGTCGTCCACACATCAGCCCCAGTACTGACAGGTCGTCCACACATCAGCCCCAGTACTGACAGGTCACACAACACCCCAGTACTGACAGGTCGTCCACACAACACCCCAGTACTGACAGGTCGTCCACACAACACCCCCAGTACTGCCAGGTCGTCCACACAACACCCCCAGTACTGACAGGTGGTCCACACACACCCCCAGTACTGACAGGTCGTCCACACAACACCCCCTCCCCTAGGTACAGTCGTCAGGCCCCCATAAGACACGACCCGAACAGCGACCATAATCCTCACCTAAATCCTTCGAGATTCTATAGGATAAAGCATTAAATCTTGACCCCTAGATGGCGGTCTACCTGTTGCCAGCCATCCTAAACCATTCAGCCAGGAGGAATATTTCAAGACACCTCATCCATCTTAGCCCCCTACCCACCTACACCCACCAAGACATCCATCATCTTGTCACCCGCCCTCACCCATCTCCTCCCGTGTCGTTCCTCTTCACTGTCACTCCTGTACGAAACAACATCGTGACCTGATGGAACATTACTAGTTCACCTTCACTAGACACCCCCCCACTACCCATATCACGTCCCCCTTTCAGAGTACTATATTAACCTTGACCTCTTCCACATCACACAAGAGTACCATACTAACCCACACAGAGTACTATGTTAAGCTTGACCTCCTCCTCCTCCCGCCTAGAGTACTATGTTAAGCCTGATCTCCTTCTCCTCCCGCCTAGAGTACTATGTTAACCCTGGACTCTACCCCAACAGAGTACCTGGTCCACGCGGTGTGTATGAAAAACTTGAGTACAGATAACCTTGTGTGCGGCCTGCAGTACAAGAGGCTCATCAGCTCCGTTAACCCTCCTGAGAAACTGGACTTTGAAGACTCCATACGACAACAATGCTGGTAAGTCTATGTATGTATATGTATGTATGTATGTATGTATGTTTTAGTCTTAGTGTGTGTGTGTAGACCATAATACCTCCATTTAAACAGCATATTTCACCTGACGTTACCTGGTCATCAATCAATTACCTGGATTATTTATCGCAGTAACCTCTGTAAGGCTCTTAGGTACTAGTGACTCAATACAAGTCACAAAAAACTCTTATCTTAGCGTTATAAAATATGCTACCAGGAAATATTTATCTTATTGTCTCTTAATCTAAATTTACCTCAAAATTTAATAATAAAAAAAATATAACTAATTCCTGTTTTGGTTTTTAATTTCCTTTTACGTTAGAAAATATTATGTTGTGGACGATTATGATTCTTGTTATCTTTTTCCCCCGTTATTTATTCCTCACCACACACACACACACACACGCAAAAACTCTCACTCTTCCCATCGTTTATGCTCGACTCCAATAATTAATCACACGACCACCCCCACCAGACAATTACCTCAACCAGACACGTCATTCATTAATCAACACTCGGCACCAATTACCGCCACCACACCTTAAATGATATTGTCATTAGGTTATCAACACGTCCACAAAACCCGGGAAATATTTTTTTTTTCTCCAAGGAATTTTTTTTAGGTGGGGGGGTTGGGGAGGACCTGGTCTTGGGGGGATTGGTGGGGGATTGTGGGGGGATTGGGGGATTGTGGGGTGATTGGTGGGGGATTGGTGGGGGAATTGATGGGGGATTGGTGGGATGGGTGGATTTGTGGATGGATGAAGGTATAAAATAAATAGATGGATGGATCTATTCTTATGTGGATGAGGATGTACACAAGCGGAGAGAGAGAGAGAGAGAGAGAGAGAGAGAGAGAGTGTGTGTGTGTGTGTGTGTGTCCTCTCGAACTCTTCTCCTCACTCAATCCACCAAGAACCTCTCCTCTTCCAGTCTTTCTTTTCCTCACCATTCCTCTTCCCACCTACTGCTGTGCCCTCTTTGTTTAAATATCTATCAATCACTTGCTTGACAATCATTATTTCTAGTTCTGGAATAATCAGAGATACAACTTAAGGCACCCAGAGCTACTAAGACCACCCCCCCATGGGCTCCTCTCAGTCCCAGACCTACATAAATATCACCGTGTGAAGGTGTGGAACAACTTACCCCCACCCATCCCAGCAAAGACTACGCTCCCTTCCTTTAAATCATCTCATAAAAAATATCGATTGTCTAAGTATTAATATTTCTTGTAACACCTCTTTATATCCCTACCTTTATGTACCATCAAAACTGTTTTATCATAAATTATCTGTAGATAGATAGAGATTACCATTGCAATAAATATATTTGCCAACGAGACATAATACTGACAGCTCTGTTCTCTTGTTCCACCTTAACACAACCCATGTTGTACTGCTTCCCTCCCTTATCATATTTATGTATATCAACTCCACTGTAAAATATGTATATACTTATAATATAAAATAAAATAATAAATAAGGAAGTGATAACCGTGGTAACGTGTTATTACCACCATGCTGTGTGTACAGGTGATACTAAATGTTACATAATACTCCCTTGAGATAAATGTACAGGTGCAGCTCAGGCTCTCAACTGGCTCAACATGTTAATATTGTTATTATTATCCACTCTGTATCTGTGTTTTTCTGGTTAAATAAACGGTTTCAATAATAATTCTCTCTCTCTCTCTCTCTCTCTCTCTCTCTCTCTCCGCCCGCACCCAACCTTCCATAATCACATTATTTTCTTCAATACACTCCAATATTCGTGTGGTGACCGCAGGCTGAAGACTCGCCCGCCAAGAGTCTTTATAGGTTAGTTTAGAACCTCGGGCACTACCACATTGCCGGCTGATGGGTGGTGAGTGGTGGTGATGAGTGGTGATGGTGGTGAGTGGTGGTGATGAGTGGTGATGGTGGTGAGTGGCGGTGATGGTGGTGAGTGGCGGTGATGGTGGTGAGTGGCGGTGATGGTGGTGAGTGGCAGTGGTGGTGATGGTGGTGAGTGGTGGTGATGAGTGGTGATGGTGGTGAGTGGTGGTGATGAGTGGTGATGGTGGTGAGTGGCGGTGATGAGTGGTAAGTGATGGGGAGTGGTGGTGAGTATGATGAAAGTGATGATAGTGGTGATGGTAATGGTGATAATAATTATAGTCAGTGTGTGTGTGTAATTACAACTGATGTAAATAAATTGATAGTTATATAAACAAACAAGCAAAAACAAATAAAAGAAGAATATATTGTCCTCAGCTGTTCCTACACGTCTCAGCACCACACAAGGTCCTTCTCGCCCTTAAGACTTGAGTGCCTCACAATACACTCAGGTACAATTTGTTGAACCTTGTGCTCCGGTCAGAGCTCGACCAACTTTGTTGATAACCGCTGAATATCTCTTGACGAGCCACTGGACACTCTCTCTCGTGTCTTTTGTGATTCAGATGGGGGCCCTTGGTGGTACACGGGGCCCCAGTGGTCCAAATTGGGGTTCATTGGTGATATACATAGCCCTAATGTTCTAAATAGGGGCCCTAGTGATCTAAATTGAAGCCCTAGTGGTTTAAAATAGGGCCCCTTTCTGGTTATACTGGGCCCGAGACATAAATGGAGAGGGATGAGGGGAAATAGGAGAATAATTGGCCCCTAACCTGTACTCTCCTCCTTCAGTGCCTTCCACAACTACCTGCTGTGTGTGACCTCGGCAGCAGAGCGAGAGTGTGGTACCCAGGCTGCCCACTTCATTGAGGAGTACTCCTATCGCACCGCCGGGCCCATCATCCAGGTACTGCACACACACACACACACACACCTGGATAAAACATGCAGACATGTTTTTTATCACTAGTTTGTAATATTTTCTGCAAGTACATTATTTTGCCTTTAATATTTCTCATGGATATAAATGTTAAAGAGATCAACAATCATCTGTGTATCTGCACATATTTGTTCATGGATCTATTTACTTCATTAATATTTTATTCTATAGATTTCATTTCATTTATCAACTACGGGAGATGTTTAGGTGATGGATCTGGTTAGTGAAGACGAAGTTAATGTCTCCTTTGTTCCCCACAGACGCGGTGTAAGGTGTACGTGCCAGGGAGCCTGGAGTGCACCCACAGCACCGCCGCCCTCAGTAAGGGAGCCTCCTTCTTAGGTCTTTCTCTCCTGCTGGTCACGCCCCTCATACTCCTCCGCCTCCTGTAGTCGACCACGCCTCACTCGTCTCCCTCCTCCTGAACGCCTTCAAATGATCTCAAGGTTATACCAGAGCCCCCATAGTAATCCCTTATCCCTTAAATACCAAACAACAGCCTCTGCACATCTTCAGAGATCATCAACACGAGTCCAGGTCACATCACATGTGTTAAGTGATCCGCAAGTCACGACGGAATCCTTAGAGAGTTTCTGGATCACTACAATACACCTTCATGACCAGAGCAAGGACAAGATGCCTCACTGTCGTAGCTCTTTGGATCACCTTCAGTTATTTCCACACTGCTGTGACTTAAAATCTCGGTGAGGCAGCTGGTGGCAGAGTCATCACGACATATACCGTGTGCTCGTACATTACCACTTGGTCTGGTCTGTTGGTAATACTCACGACTGTTGTTTCTCCAACTAGATGCCTCTTACAGCTGGATGATCGCCCTACATGGCCCAACCCATCGTCGTACAGGACTCAGATGACCACTACACCAACTGCTGAACATCCTCCAGGTGTTGTGTCTCAGAGAACTACTACAGGAGATAACACCCACAACACTGACTCAAGTGACAAACTTAAGTTCCTTCACATTTTATAATTGACCTCCGATGTTAGAGATTGTACTGTACTGTACTGTACTGTACTGTAATACAAAAGACATCTTCCTGAATAGGATTGACTGAGCTTTTATTGTCTTATTCATTATATTCTTCACCATTCCATCACAACAAGGTGTGGGTAACTCCTCAGTGTGTGTAATAACACTGTACTATGATAGTGTAGGCATTAAATGTTGTGGTCAACAAGACAAGTATTACACTGTGGCAACACAAGAAGCACTAGTCTATAACTCCAGGATGTAAATATACTGACTATTAATGAACATGATCATAGAATGATGTAGAATGATAAGAATCTGTGATAAAACAAATTAAGACAATAGAGACTCGAGGCCGTCCTCAGATGCTGCCAAGTGAGTATAACCTACCCACCCACTGATTGGTCAAGATAAGTCACCGTTTTGGCTGAGGTCCCCTGTCATCATGAGAAGCTATCTTATTGGCCGAGGTCCCCTGACGTCACCAAGAGAAGCCCGCTTATTGGCCGAGATCCCCTGATGTCATCAAGAAGCCACCTTATTGGCCGAGATCCCCTGATGTCATCAAGAGAAGCCACCTTATTGGCCGAGATCCCCTGACGTCATCAAGAGAAGCCACCTTATTGGCCGAGATCCCCTGACGTCACCAAGAAGCCCGCTTAGTGAGATCTGACGTCATCAAGAGAAGCCACCTTATTGGCCGAGATCCCCTGACGTCATCAAGAGAAGCCCGCTTATTGGCCGAGATCCCCTGATGTCATCAAGAGAAGCCACCTTATTGGCCGAGATCCCCTGACATCATCAAGAGAAGCCACCTTATTGGCCGAGGATCCCTGATGTCATTAAACATGCATTAATACCATCTACTTTATCGGATTCACTTACACATACTCTTAAGACTTTGCAATACGTTCACCTCATAAAGGACCAGGTGAGGGACGGTGTGGTCACGTGAGGCGGCAAAACGGAGACGGTAAGACACAAACTGGAGATTTATCTTAAGAATGTAAACAATGTCACGTGATTCAGTGATTTATCTTAAGAATGTAAACAATGTCACGTGATTCAGTGATTTATCTTAAGAATGTAAACAATATCACGTGATTCAGTGTAAACATTACATTAAAACATTAACTATATGTTTTTCCGAAAAGTGTTTGAAAAAATAAGTTATTGACAAATGTTCTAAAAAAAAAAAACGAAGTGAAATTATTACAAAAGCGAATAATAATTTTTTATCTGGAATATAGTTGATAAATCACATAATCAATACACCCATACAGACTTCACATTAAAATGACTTACGTTGACAAGTTTAATAGTTTATTGAACAAGAACCGAGTTTATACGATTAGAATAACAAATTTTCAGAGGTTTACTTGAAGCTACTGTATATAAGACAATTGTTGATTGGTCAAAGGTTTACCTCTGTTTTGAGAGAAGTCTGTTGTGATTGGCCAAAGTATCTGGCGTTATCAGTTTGTGATTGGTCAATCCTGACGTCATCGAATTCGCGATTGGCCGAGACATCCTGACATCATCGAGGCATCACATTTTCTTGACGGTAAAATGGCAGACGTTTTACCTTCACACTGCCTGACGATCAACCTGCCACCAGTTGCCCAGGAAGACGACACACTGCCCTTGACTGCCTCAACCTTCTTATGGTGCGCCACCTTCGCTCTGCGCAGTTATTGGGTGTCGGTCATCATCGAACAGAAGGAACACTGGCATCACTAATCCCCTGCGCAGTATATGGAGACATGGCAGTACACCTTATTACGGTAAGCGCAAAGGGTAATCATCAAGCCTCGAGTGTCTGCGCTGGTGTCTGCATCCTCTAGTCACCTGCGCAGTAAGCCTGGCCGTCACCAACTGCGCAGTTCTCTGGACAGCGTTTGTAATCATGCAGGGTCACAACATCGCCAACAGCCACAGTTTTAGACAAATGTCGCCACCGAGTGTCTACAAGTGTCGGCCCGTCAATAGTGAAGGTGTTGTTACTGACGACCCGTGACCTCGCACCTGACCCAACAAACGAGTGACCTTGTTACATACAGTGATGGACACTCGCGAGATGCTAATGAACTTCAAGTCAATTGTGTGTGTGTGTGTGTGTGTGTGTGTAAGGTGTGATGTATATATAGTTAACATTCTAAGAGGCTATAAATATAATATACCAGGAAAAAATATAACACTATTATTATTATTATTATTATTATTATTATTATTATTATTAGCATCACCCTCCATCACCACCCCATCCCCATCACCACCCACCCCATCACCACCCCACCCCCATCACCACCCCACCCCATAACCACCCACCCCATCACCACCCCCATCTCCATAACCATCCCACCCCCATCACCACCCCACCCCATCACCACCCCACCCCATCACCACCCCCACCCCATCACCACCCCACCCCATCACCACCCCACCCCATCACCACCCACCCCATCCCCACACTATGACACTTATAAAATGTCCCGTGTCAGAAGCTTCATATTATTGTGTCACGCGCGTGCAGGTGTCGTCCACAGGTAGAGTGTATGGGACAGAGGTTTGTGTACGCAGCTTCATGACGCAAAGATATCGTGGTTGTATTTAGTACGCTTAACGTGAGTCACTGACGCTACAATGACGCTACGTGTGAATGAATAGCAGCTGCGGTGTTTACTTTAAGTCATTCACTGATTGGTCTAGAATCGTATCCTTCATCAGTTTACAAACACGCTCATTGGTCAAGGTTTTCACCCTATTATGTGGTGAAACCCGTTGATTGGTCTGTTCACTGGGCGGGGTCTAACACACTGTAGCTATTGGTCATTCTATTCGCCACATCATGACTATATCTACTCACTATATCACCTACTCACCACACCACCTTCAACACACACACAGGTAAACAGAGCTCCCAATTAATGACTTTACGAACGATTTACCTGAGACAAGACAACCAAGACATACCTGTGAAGATAGAGACAAATAAACGTCAGGTCATCTAGGTGTCCTGAACTTAAGGTTAATAACTGAACTTACCAAACTGCAGGTGTCGGGGTACCACAACCATCATTATCTGCAACACAAATATTGTAATGTTAAGAACGAAGTCAAATTGCTAATGACTCACTCACTTAAATACGGATTAAACTTACATCACCTGGATTAAAAATTGGCTACGTTTTAATCTCCCATTTAAATATGGATAAATACTGGATTACATCTCGGTAAATACCTTAAACTACGAATCCAACTTGAACATCTTTGGATAAGTGTGGATAACTATGGATAAGTGAGGATAACTATGGATAAGTGTGGATAACTATGGATAAGTGAGGGTAACTATGGATAAGTGTGGATAACTATGGATAAGTGTGGATAACTATGGATAAGTGTGGATAACTATGGATAAGTGTGGATAACTATGGATAAGTGTGGATAACTATGGAAAAAGTTAGGATAGGATAGGTTAGGTTAGGTTAGAGTAAATGACTCGATGAAGAGGTGAAAAGTAATGATGAGGATAAGTGACGAGGAGATCAGAGTAAACAAAAGGTAAACAAAATTAAACAAAAGCGAATAAAACAAAATATATAAAAAACTAGGTAAATATAATAAAATAAACAAAAAAATAATTACAAAAATAAGTAGATACAATTAAATAAAACTCAAGTAAAAAAAAAATAGAGGTTAACAAAAGCTTATGTGGCTAACAGTGATGCGACACAGTATTGTCAACACCAGCAGCTGACCTTCTCTCTCCTAGTTTAAGGACGACACACTCTAGCAGACACACTTGGGAGATAATTCACTTACTACAGATGCACTTTACATAATTCCTCACACACTTAAGACGGAAAAAAAAGTGTTAAGTAAGAGTTATGGAAGTCACTTATATCATATATTGGTCCACTTTTCTTGATACACTTGACAATTTTTACTTATGAATTAACACACTCTAAAGTTGTCTACAGTATCAAAGTGTATCTACAGCTCGTACACTTACACAAGACACTTACACATAATCTCCATATGGCGAGGATAGTACTTTACACACACACACACACACACACACACACACACACACACACACACTCAATCGTGGCAGATCTGACTTACGCACTCAGTAAACAATTGACTTAAGACACAGACACACTTGTAGCTCGCGGGATAAATTAACATGTGATAGAGAGGGCTTTTAGAGTGAGTGAGTGAGTGTGAGTGAGTGAGTGTCTGTACTAATTTCGATGTTTCTAACTACTGCTGCACCCTATCTGCTGCCTCGTCTGTATATATAATATAGTTATAATATAGAAAATTGTCTCTATATTGACTTAAGTTCTGATCTCCTGTATGCAATGATTCAAGAGTATAATCTTTGACTCGAGTTCCTGTATCTAACTCGAGTGCGTGTTTACACTCGAACCTTCTTAAGTGGTTCTGGTGACATGTACAGATTCGAGTGTGTCTTTATGTCCCTCTTGTACTGAAGGGAGAAGATTGTATATATATATATATTAAAAGAATTTATTTCAAGATGTTGTGATGTGTATTGGAAGACTCATAAGTGTGTTCACAGACTCGAGTCCATGTATTGACTTAAGTATCTGTTGAGTCCACTTGAGTGCCTCTGAACTAAAGAGTGTGGACTTTGAACTCTTGTATTGGATTCACGTGCTTGTAAAATCTCGAATCCATAGTGAGTGTTTCTGGACTTGAGTTTGTCGCCTGATTATTTTTTCATTGTCTAGAGTCCATGTTAAGTGTCTCTAGAGGTGGATGGTGTGTCTGGGGTTCAACTGATTGACTCGAGTTGTCCATTGACTTGTGTGTGTGTGTGTGTGTGTGTGTGTGGACAGGCGGTCAATCACACATATCAAATATTTTCTTTTCTTTGCCATATTCATCTTCCTCTCCCGTCCCCTTTCCTCACTCCTTCCCTTGGCATCTCTCCTCCTTAATTTACCTCCCTCTCACAATCCCAGACACCCTCCTCCTTCCTTATCTCCCCCAGAGACCCTCCCTTCCTCCAAACCCTCCTTCAGAACCCCCCGCCCAGACAAGCACCCTAGATGCAGTAATTAGTGCAGAGTATCACGTGTCGCCTCTAAGTCAGTATTGTAATAAAAAATAAAGAATGTGTAACTCACCTGTGTCTAATTGCTTCCCTCACCTGTAGGCTAATATACAGGAACCTTAATTAATGGGACGAGTTTAAGTCTCACTGTAATTCTGACGCCATTTTGGATACTGTGTTTATGTATTATATCAACAGAGACCAATTTAGGAGTTTCTTATATATTCGACGGTGAGAATAATGTTGGATTATGACTGAATAAACTTGATATACAAATGAATATATTAAACTGAATACATTATTAGGTATATACTTTATAAAGATGTTAATTCTTGAGATGAACGAAAGGAGAAGATTGCTTAGCTAATATAAAATGGAAAACGAAATAGAAAAAAAAACAGACGTAATATTGATTTTGTTGTGAAGGAACAGAGTGACCTTGAGGAGACTGTCTGGGATATTGTGATTTGCACTCTTCTCCTCTCACAACCCCACACTCCTCTCCCACAACCCCACAGACACACCCTCCCACAACCCCACAGACACACCTGATCATTAGCCCGATCCTAACACAAG